CTCCGAGGGAATTTTCCTATAAAACTCGAACCGAACAACGAGATTTCGACATGATCTTCTTATAATAAACTGAAATACATAAAGAGAGGGTAAACAAGAATGTACCCTTCAATTTGGACGTGGAATGCACGGTAATGTGCGTGCTTGTGCTAAGCTCAAACGCGTGCGTACGTACTTCCCTTGTGCTTCCGCCTTCCTTAGCTGTTTTTGTACTATTTCTCCATAATATTTTCCTTACTATTTTTCCCTCTATTTCTTGCTGAAGTTGGCTGAACTTTGTGCGTGAAAAGTGCATGAACTCAACGTCCATACACGGTAATTTAAAGGAGTAAAAAGACGAGGGTGAACTTCGGTCAATGAGGTGAGTGATGACATAATTTCCTTTGATTACAAGTGTCCAAAGCACGGCTGAAGTGTTGGGCAAATTTGCTTAGTCATTGCCGAGGTGGCGACCATACACGGGCTTAGTCATCGCCCGTGCGTTCGTGGCGCGCCATGTGTGAAAGCACATAGGTGATTCATCACCCCACTTGCACACCCAACGTTTATCCTTGCATTTTTCCTCACGGTAATATTAAGATGGGAGTTTGGTCTGATCAAGTCACTAAGCATTGCCTAAGTGCGAGCTTAGCGGGGTAATGACGCGTGCGCTATGTGCTGCGCGCGACGATGCGTGCTGCGCGCGGCTACGCGTAAGGCTGCGCACGTTGTGCGTGTATGCATGCGTGCAAAGTGTGCTTGAGTACATTCATGACTTAACCTTAGTTTTGATCATGAACTTAGTTCCGAACATATTTAACTGTCAATAATTAATCCCGATTAAAAATGTCTGTTTATAAAATAAGCGGTTCGGAAATTAATTATCGAATTTGACTCGGTTAATAATTAACCGGATAAACTTTTCGACTTAACGTCGAACTTATTTGCTGAAAATGAACGGAACTAATAAAAGGTAATACATCATTTATATTAACAAGAAGTTGGGTTATTACAACATAACTAATAATAAATTACATTATATTCCATAAAATAATTATTTTGATAAAAACTTATCATATATTTAAAAATTCATGTGAATACTAAGTATAATATTAAAAGTTATATTGTTTCATTAATTAAAATAAATTTATTTTTCTATGAATTATCCAATCAAAAAATTTAAGTAGCTAAGTAATTTATTAAAATATAACTAGTTGACTATTGACACCATAAGTCATGAATAATTATTTATTTCATTTTAAATTTGGAACCTAAATTTGGACTATACAATAAATCCCCTTATGTATTTTATATATGTCTATATTTTACTAATTTAATAATATCTAGATTTATTGTTGGTTACCTTGTCATTAAAATTTATCAAATAAATCCCCAATCACCCGGTTCGAATCGTTCCTCTCTTCTTCCTTTATCATAGTACTCCTTCATTCGATTGATCGATCCATACAGATTTCCTTTGAGCTCCCGAATCATAAGATCTCGTTCCATGAGCTCACGATCCACCTCATCATTCGGTGATTTTCCCATCGGATAACTAACCAATAAGTGTGCCTTCCGTCCATACACCAACCCGAAAGGAGTGAATTTGGTCGATGCATGGTACATTGTATTATACCAAAATTCAGCCCACGGTATAAATCTTTCCCATTTTCTCGGAAATTCATGAAAATAGCATCGAAGATGTTGTTCAAGAATGCGATTGGTTACCTTGGTTTGCCCGTCCGTTTGAGGATGATAAGATGAGCTCATAGCCAACTCGGTACCCTGCATTTTGAAAAACTCCTTCCAAAAACTGCTCATGAATATCCGTATCCCTATCAGATACAATGGACCGGGGCATCCCATGCAACTTCATCACATACTCAGTAATCAACTTAGCTATGGATTTAGCCGTATATGGATTAGTAATAGGAATGAAATGTATACTTGGTAAGACGATCCACGACCACCATGATCCCGTTGAACCCATTAGACATTGGAAGCCCTTCGATGAAGTCCATTGTTATAACTTTCCAAATTCTCTCAGGTACCGGCAAAGGTTGTAAAAGCCCTCCCAGTTTCCTGGAATTCGACTTCACTCCTTGGCAAACGTCACACTTTGTTACGAACTCCCGAACGTCATTCTTTACCTCTGGCCAATAAAAGGTATTGGATAGCCTTGACCACGTACGGTACACTCCCGAGTGTCCCCCAATCTTGGCTTCGTGGAAATATTGCACCAGCTCAAGTCTCAAATGATCGATTTTCGATACATACACCCGACCTTTATATAGTAACAAGCCGCCATAGACATCATAATCTTGGACCTCCTCCTCTTGAGCTTCCATTTTCCTACGAACATCATTACAAAAGGCATCTTGAGCATTTGCCTCTCGTAGTTAATCTCATATAGCCCATGTTGGTCCCAAAATGGCTTGAAGTTCTGCCACGTAAGTCCGGTGAGATAATGCATCTGCCACTGAGTTTTGTCGACCCGGTCTATAACAAATCTCAAATTCAAATCCCATGAGCTTTGACACAAATTTTTGTTGCTCCGGAGTCACTATTGTTGGTCCAACAAATGCTTAAGTGATTGTTGGTCCGTCACAATTTGAATATGTCGGCCCAAAAGGTAAAGCCTCCAAACCCGAACCGCTTCTACCACAGCTAGCAATTCTTTTACGTAGACCGACCATCCTACTCGTACACTCCCCAATGCCTTACTCATATAAGCAATGGGTCGATCTTCTTGTGTAAGGATGGCTCCAATTACCACATCACTAGCATCCGTATGTACTTCAAAATATCGCCTCAAAGTTAGGCAGGGCTAATATCGGAGTTGTTGACATAGCCCCCTTGAGTTTTTTGAATGCCTCCTCACTACTAGCCGACCATTTGAATCCTCCTTTTCTCGTCATCTCCGTCAATGGCTTAGCAATCGATCCAAAGTCGTTGAAAAATTTTTGATAATATCCATTCAGCTCCAAAAACCCCGTAGTTCCTTCAAATTATTCGGTTTAGGCCAATCGAGCATCGCCTCAATTTTCTTGGAATCTACTCTAACTCCTTCAAAAGATATAATGTTGCCCAAATACTTCATCGATTCTTGGCCAAAAGAACACTTCGAAGGCTTTATCTGAAAATCATTCTCCTTCAAAATATTCAAGACCACTTTCAAATGCATCATATCATATCGAGTTAATAGCAAACTGAAAAGTGGATGGTGCGTTACATAAACAAAAAGGCATTACCAAATATTCATAGTGCCCTTGATGAGTCCGGAATGCCGTCTTGTGGATGTCCTCTTCTGCCACTCGTATCTGATGGTATCCAGCTCGCAAATCTAACTTGGAAAAACAACAGGATCCTGCCAACTCGTCCAACATGTCATCAATGCTTGGAATTGGAAAACGTCCTTTATGGTAGCCGCATTGAGAGCCCGGTAATCTGTACAAAACCTCCACGTCCCATCCTTTTTCTTGGCAAGGAGTACGGTGAAGACAAAGGACTTGTACTATGCCTGATTAATCCCGACTCAAGCATTTCACGAACCTGCTTCTCAATCTCGGTTTTCTGAAAATGGGCATACCGATACGGAGGGACATGTACGGATTTGGTTTCATCCAACATGGTAATGCGATGATCGAACTCTCTCCGTGGTGGTAGATTTTTTGGATCCGCTTTCACTTCCTCGAATTGTTGAAGAAACTCGTCAATCTCCCCTTTATGTATGTGTTCCACATCAACACCTTCCAGTTTATCAACTCTAATGGCAAAGATTTGACTACCTTGCCTCCACAATTTCTCCAAACTTTGAGCACTCACCTCCTTCGTTCTCTTCTTTCCTCCGGTTGATAACTTAACCATTCCATCACCCCAACGAAATTCCATTGTTCTTGTTCTATAGTCCGTAGTAACCGGACCCAATTCTTCCAACCATTGAACCCCCAAAACCACGTCCGGACCTACCAAGGGTAGTGCATACAAGTCGGCCTTTAAAGTGACCCCTTACATTTTTATAGGCACACCCCGGTAAAACTCTGGGCATTTCAACCTTTCACCATTAGCAACCCTCACTTCAAACGGCTCCACTTGTGTGACATGCAAGTTTAACTTATCGAACAATGATGAATTAATAGAATTATGAGACAAACCATTTGTCGATTAGCACAATTACACGTCGATCGTGAACCCAAGCTGGCATCTTCACAAATGTTATGAATCGTGTATCGAGTGTCGAATTTTGTATCAAAACACGCACTAAAGCCTTGATTTTGACACGGATTTATGCTCGAAAACGTGCTTTTTCTGAGTCTGATAAAAGTTAAAAGATAGTTCATACAATGGTTCCAAAAACAGCATAAAAATGATCCTACTAACTACCCAAACCCACTTGAAAATGAAAAGAAAATTGAAATAATAATTGCTCCAGCCGGGACCCTAGCGGCGCTAAGGACGGTTAGCGCCGCTAACCGTATTGAACGTAAATTCTCTGTCGCCCGCTGGATTTTGATAGCGCCGTTGTTTTCCCGTCCTTAGCGCCGCTAAGGCTCCTTAATGGCGCTATCCCCTTGACAACTGCCATTCTTCTGCAGCTTCATTCTTGCTCGTCAGGCCCAATTGTACGCGTTCTTCAGCTGACGACCCTCATCCGCATCAGCCCCACACGACATACACCTCATTTTTCTCTCTCATTAACTCTCTGACACGCCTCTCTCACAAACTAATTTATATCTCTCACACACATATATCTCTCTCCCAAACACACACTGTTACACACAATATACACATAATGTCGGCCCGACTCAAAACTCCGGCGCCGTACCCCCGACCCATGCCGACACTAGGCCTCAACGATAGCTATGGCGCCGCCACACGTCCCCTTGTTCAGCCGCGCTACCACACCGGTGGAGCTCCGAATTGCCGGCATTGAACTCGACGTCTACGACATCCTCCTCCACCCGACAACCTGCCGCTGTATCCGTCATCCTATTCCACATCGCCGATTAATGTGCAGCGGGAGCCAACACCGGAAAAAAATAGACATACAATAGAACACGACCATTAATGGAGATTTTTTTTTTTTAATTTAAACGTCATCTCCAACATTCGGTTGTAGTGGGAGGAATTACATGGTGAACGACAAAGACTCTGAAGACAACGACGTCGGTTGTCGGTCGGAGAGTGGCTGACGCACGGTGGTGAGATAGGGGAAAAGAATTTTTTTAGGAATTTGAAAATTAGATAAACTGCAAGGACTTGATTGCAAAAGAAAAAAAAAGGAAAAGTGTCTCAGAAACAAGTGTATTGTCGGTAGTTCTCCACTGTAACTTTCTCACGTTGCCTTTTTAGATTTGATTTGTGGATCTTTTTTATCATTAGTGAAATTTTTTAAAAATAAATAAATTCAAAGTTGACTAATTATAATTTTCAAATTATATATAAACTTCTAAATTAAATATTATTCTCTAAAAATAAAAAACAAAAAAAATAATGTTAAATATGTTTTCATACATAATAATTCATTAAGAAGGTTTATATTAATTCAATTGACTGATCGAATGGCTACAAGTGCACATTATTGTTTTTCAATGAACATTAGTATAACATTAAATAACAAAATCATAAATACTAAATATGTTTTTATAATATAAAAAATTGATAAAATTTTAACATGAAAATTTTAAAAACATAAAAATTATTACAATAATAGATATACTTTTATAATAATAAATAATAAATTATTTCAATTATCTAGGTTAATTCGATGTATAATTATATCCACTAAATCTAGTTTTAAAAAACACATTATATACGTGTTCATATAAAGTAGTGCACTTTCTATATCAACATGTTGCAAGTTATAAAACACCACATTGCATTTTATAAAACAG